CAATTATTGAAGGCCCCATGGCCTGCAATTATTGACCTGAAAAAACAAAAAAGAGAAGATAATGCAATCTCTTTGCCTCCCATTGCCTGCAATTATTGACCCTGACAAAGCAAAAAAGAGAAGATAATGCAATCTCTTTGCCTCCCATTCCCTGCAATTATTGACCCTGACAAAGCAAAAAAGAGAAGATAATGCAATCTCTTACCTCCTGGTTTTTCCATCAAATTACATGAGTTTTTTTTTTTCTTATACATAAATTTTTTAATTTCATAGTACCTATAAATTTTTTTCGTTTTACTTGGAAGGTCCCATTTGCATTCATTCGGAGGTCCAGTTCCCTGAGGCATCTTTTGTTTTCTTCTTTAAAAAAACTATTTATTTTCCTTGATAGTAATCCCAACTATTAAAGTTATAACTCTTTTTCTGAGGGCAAAACATCGGTACCGCTCACATCTACCATGCGGAATAATAGCCATCTGAATGAATATCTTATGCAGACCCATCCTGATCCACGACAACAGTTAAAATTCACCTGATCAGGCCGGCCAGGTAAAAGCTTTTGTTGGGCCTTATTTGCCACGAAGCCCCAAACCATTCACATGCGGGCCGCTGCTTGGGCTCAGGCCCCTAGGAAAAGTACTAACATGTGGAGTAATATTCTGCCACAAGGTACATAACATTGTGTTCGTCCTGACTTCTCCTTTCATCCCCCCTTACAATTTGGGATGTCCAATTAATGGGTGTGGGTGATTAAGAGAAAGGATTCTGAATTAAAGTATTAAGGATGATAATAAATTTTTTTAAAAATAATTTTAATAAATTAATATGTTAAAAAATTATTAAAAATATTGAAATAATTTTATTTATGTTTTTTAATGTCTTAATTTTTTTTAAATAAATAAATTTAAAAAATAATGTATGTCAATTTTGACCCTAAAAGAAATTAAAAATCTAACATTAATTATAAAAGTTTGTAAGCTAACTATTTAAAATTAAACTAAACTTGAATTAAAATTTCAAAATTTGAATTCATAACTTTTATTATCCCATTCATGATTTTTTAATTTTGTTGCCTAAGCATCATTGACTCCTTTCATCGGAATACCTTCTAGGGCACTTTCACTATAATGAAATTAATAGCAGTGGCCAGTAGGGCTTAGCAGAAGCCTACTATTTTTTAAAATTAATAAAATTAGAGTGAAATTCGCTATATCATAATTTTAAAATAAATGTCTAATTTGAGATCTCAGCTTGTCTCCTCTAACAAATTTGATAATTTAATTTTCAGTTGCTCAACATAAAAAACGAATGGAGTTTGGTCCCTATTTTTCTATTTTGATTCCCATTATCGGTTTGGTTTCAGAAAACTTTAAATTGAATTGGATTTTTTTCCATTTTAGTATTATTATTTCCTCACTCTTGGGCATTGCCTGCTAATATTTTGCAATGTGGGCTTGAGTAAGTTGGGCCCAGCTCTAAGCTTCTTCTTTTTTTTTGTTGGATTTAAGCTTATAATATGTTTTAATTACTTATTTTAGTTTTGATTTTTTCTTTTTTTGTAAATGGATAGGATGTGGTTTTTAATAGAATTTATATAATTTTTATTTTTATTTTTTTGGAAAAAAAGGATTTTGAATGCACAATAAACAAAGCTTTTGGACTTGATTGAATATTATTTAAAAGTTGAGGGACTGTGTTGGGAGAAGAAAAGTCACTTTTAGGGATCTAAGTGAATGAATATGAAGTTATGGGACTAAATTGTTCATTGTATAGAAACTGTAGGATCAGATTGATATTTTATCATTAAACAAATTGCAAAGAGATCCAAAAACACGACACGGGTTTGGTGTCCGATCTTATCTGTTACGTGTGGACACTATACCCTAAGCCTTTGGAAAATAAATGGGCGTAAGATAAAATAACAAGAGTGTCGACACCCACGTTGTAGTATCGACACACAAAGCATTTTTAACTTTGAAAAATTTTTTTTTTTATTACATGTCCAAGTTTTCCTAATGGGATTTTCTTAAATTTTAGAAGATATTTAGTTAAAATCAGATTTGAGAGATTTTGTAAATCAAGAAAGAGCTGACAATAAGAAATTTAACATAAATAAATTAAAATTTAAGAGTTTATATTATTAAATTAATTTTATTTGTATTTAAATTTTATTTTATGATATTAAGTACTTTTATATGAAGGCAAATCATGCAAAAAAAAAACCCCCTGAACTTGATTATTAATGACAGATTAGCCCCTAAACCAAATTCAGAAGCATACTACCCCTTATACTCTTTCACAGTGACAAATAAGCCCTTGTTTGAAGGTTGACGTCATCGTTCCGTCAAATAACTAACTGTGCTCTTGTTTCACTCTACTGGCTGCTAAGTTGGAAACAACGTGGGTCCTATGTCATCAAATCTATTAACATTAAAACATTTTATGAAACAACAATTTAAAAGCAAGAGTTTTAAGTGCTTCTATTCATGCAGAGCCAAAACTTTTTTCTTTTTTCTTTCTCCTTTCTTCTTTTTTATTTGTCCCAAATAATTAAAGTATTTTACAAATTTTCATTAAAAAAATTACAACTTATTTTTGGTATTTCTCTTTATTTATGTGGATTATGAGGAATAAATTAAATTCAAACTTAAATTTTTATCTTTATTTTTCATTTTGTGTCCAAAAATTGTTCTTTATTTTTTTCTATTATTTGTCATTTATACTTAATTTTCTTATTTGTTTAAATATAGAGTTATAAAGGAGAGGTGAATTTTATGTTGTACATGGAATTTGGAGTTTATCATCGATAATTCACACTTTGGTTTGGATCAAAATTATGTGTTCAATTTTTTTTTTTTTTTATTACTTTGGCTCTAGAATAGACTAGCTATAAAAGGAGAAATCATGTATATTTAAGCTAAATTAAATTAAATTTTTTTTGATGATTTTGTTGT